GAAGCATAGAATTCTGGAGTTGGAAGGGATCCCTGCAGTGCAGGAATCTCAGCTAAACTATCCATGACAGATGCTCATCCAACCTCTGCTTAAAAATCTCAAAGGAAGGAGAGTCCACCACCTTCTGAGGGAGTCGGTTCCACTGCATACCTGAAGGAGCGTCTCCATCCCCATTGTTCAGCCCGGACAATGAGATCCAGCTCTGAGGGCCTTCTGGTGGTTCCCTCATTGCGGGAAGTGAGGTTACAGGGAACCTGGCAGAGGGCCTTCTTGATAGTCAGGCCCACCCTGTGGAATGCCCTCCCATTAAATGTCAAGGAAACAAACACCAGACTTTTAGAAGACATCTGAAGGCAGCCCTGTTTAGGGAGGTTTCTAACGTTTGAGTTTTTTGTGTGTGTTTTAATATTTTGTTGGAAGCCACCCAGAGTGGCTGAGGCAACCCAGTCAGATTTTCGGCATATAAATAATAAAAATATCATCATCATCATCATCATCATCATCATCACAATCACTGTCAAAGAGTTCTTACTGTTAGAAAGTTCTTCATGTTGTTTAGTTGGAATCTCCTTTCTTGAAACTTGAAGCCAGTGGTTCAGGTCCTACCCTGCAGAGCAGGAGACAGCAAGCTTGCTCCATCTTCCTTGCGACGTTTCATAGTTCAAGTACTTAGTTCCTTATTACAGTATAGGTTGGATGTCTCAGCATATACTGGCCTGTTATGTATTTTATTAATAGTATTTATAATCCTCCCTTCACTCAAAAGTCCCAGGATAGAAATATGTGCAGTCTAAACCAAGATTAAAGGGACGCAGGTGGCGCTGTGGGTTAAACCATAGACCCTAGGGTTTGCCGATCAGAAGGTTGGTGGTTCGAATCCCCGCAACGGGGTGAGCTCCCGTTGCTCGGTCCCAGCTCCTGCCAACCTAGCAGTTCAAAAGCACATCAAAATGCAAGTAGATAAATAGGTACCGCTCCAGCGGGAAGGTAAACGGCGTTTCCGTGTGCTGCTCTGGTTCGCCAGAAGCAGCTTAGTCATGCTGGCCACATGACCCGGAAGCTGTACGCTGGCTCCCTCGGCCAATAAAGTGAGATGAGTGCCGCAACGCCAGAGTCGGCCACGACTGGACCGAATGGTCAGGGGTCCCGTTTACCTTAAACCAAGATTAAACAATGGGATCAAAACAGCTTTACACAAAATTCATACTTCAGTTACATATAAAACCAGCAGTACAATCATCATCATCATCATCATCATCATCAAACAGCTCCCCCTCTCCAGAAGTGTGGCCAAAGAGGTATATCACTTTCCACCAAAATCACTTTCTAATGTATTCAAGTGATATTGTGACACCTCCACCAGATCATTATGTGTTTTTCCTTTCTTTTTAATACTTCTTCTTCTTTGGCGATCACTCGTAGCCAAGTAAGTTTGTCTTCCATGAACACGGTCTTAACAGTGTGTCCATAAGTGACTGTGGAGGCCAATTCTATTTCATTTGGGGCTGATGATGATCTCCTCAAGTTCTAGGCAATTTCATATTAATGGGAAATGCATTAAAATGATATGCCTTTTTCTGTAACGTCAGACTGCATGAAATGATTTGAGAGGTCATTGCAGTCATTACTTAGGAAAACTATGATAGTGTGGGTTAGGCTTTTCTTTTGGAGTTTTGAGATCAAGAAGTTTTCCAAAATATTGCAATAAATAAAAACTAAAAATGGAAGAAATCACTAACTAGACAAAAGTAAAAGAAAGAACTGGACTTCTTTTGTTGAGTTTTGTAATAAATAAACTGTTGTATTCAGGGTGGGGTTAGTTTTTAATAAAAATAAATCTTGAAAGATATTTTCAAAATCTATAGTTTTCCAAAATTTCTACATGGCTAGATATAGATACAGATATAGAAGATTATCCACCCAGTTTTCTAATCATCAGCAAGCAATTGGGAATGATCCTCATTATCTGTTCTCATTCTCTACCTTCTAGAGTGAAATGTTATGTTGTCAGAAATATTAGGAATGATTAAAGATAATTGCTGGTCCCATATTTAGCATTTGAAATCAAGTTTGAAGGTACTTGTAAGTGCTGATCAACTGTGACCGCCGTTTAGCCTGAATTGTGGTTAACATTGTTGCTGGTATAATGTTTAACCATGATTGAGGCCTTTAGTGGGAATTTGTGCTCCAGAAGATAACCTGTAGAAAAGGAGGTGTATTATCCCATGCCCTACTCACATGGTGCACTGTGAAGAAAGACCCAGAAATGTCCAGAGAAGCAAAACAAGGGGTTAATTGGTTCTTGGCCTTGTATTTCACTGTATATGTGTACAACTTACAGCACAATTCTATATATGTTTATTATATTCAAAAGGAAGTCCCATGGAGTTTACTCCTAAGAAAGTGTACACAGAATTACAGCCTTGGTCTTTCAAGCTGTGTTGAGGTTAACAGGTCTTGATCCTTTCAACTTTTATACCAAAGGAAACATTTAGCAGCGTAAACTTACTACCTATTTAATTTCAAGGAATTGGATATTTTCTAGGATACAGAGATCCACTTTGGTTTCTGAATCAAATATTAAAATGTTCACACTCCTAAGCAGTTTCAATCTTTAGAGTTATCGAAGCATGCCTTAAACTTAGAAGCAGATGACCGTGGCTAATTTTTCTGCCTTACAGAACTTTTGAGAAACAAAAATCATCAAAAGGGGAAACTAGCCCACCATTTTTAAATGGACTACCAAGGTTCTCCTTTGAAGTTACAGAGCAAGTAAAAAATACACTTTTCTCAGTAATTATGTTAAAGAAAGGTTGGTAGGATACAGTTTAAACTGTTTATCAATTCCACTTTCGACAACAAGTTGCTGAAAGCAATTCCTACAGCTTGACTTAATGATTTTCTGATGTTCACAGCACTGTTTTGTTTCAGAGCCTGGGTCGCAGCAAAAAACTTCCCCCTGCTTTTATCTGTTAATGAAGCTACTGTGTACTATGTGCCCTTTTCCCTCTTTATGACAGTCTATTCTATCGCACCCACCCCAGATTCATTACTTCACCCCATTAACAATCCGTGCAGAGTCCTCTGCTAGTTTTATGAGGCAAAACCACAAAATGTCAGGTTAAGAAAACCCTCTCCCAAACTTCTCTCATAAAATACTGACACATAATACATTACCTGTCAAGTATCTGTTTACACAGATTCTCACCAAACTAGCAACATGAAGTTTAATATTAGAAAAGGTAAATAATGAATTGCCTACTACTTTTTTTTTTTTAAAAAAGGCATCTGGATGTAAAATATTTGGTAACTTTCTAATCATAATGCTGCAGCAATCCTTACTTTAATTAAAGGAAATAAAAAACACCCTCAACACACAGCAGCATGATATGGTCTAGGATTGTGTTCTTCAGTTTGGATTCCTAGGTAGTGTTGGAATTATCCTTGACCATTGAGATAAGCTGGCTAGAGATGATAGTTGCAGTCCAACAAATCTAGGGACCCAAGGCTGAAGAACACTAGCCTAGGACACTTTATTCAGAAACAGATGTCTTGTAGGAAGATACTTTAATCATCAGCATTATTCTGAGGAAAAACCAAATGAATTTCATTTTCTTTTGGAAAGCAGCTTTGCCACACGTAAGTGAGAAGAGAAACGTAAGTCACATATGTACACTTTTAATGGATTGGCTGGATAAAAATATTGATATCCCACCGCTTGGGCCTGAAGAAACATTTGAAGTGGTTCACAGTATAAATGAAAAACAATACTAAGTACACATGCAGGTATACCCTTATATAAGATATAAAACTAAAATGTCTGGTGTTCTGTGTGGCTATGATACATCAAGAGATGCCGAAAGGTTTTTACAGAGCTGTACTGAAGATGATGTGATGTGTGTGCAGATTAAAATTTTTAAAAATAAAGTTGGAAAGATGTAAAATGAATCTTCATTTTTAGTTGCTTGCGGCATTACCTGTGCAAGTGAGGCATACAAAGCAGCGTCACTCACTCGGAACAACCTGCTGTCTAAAGGCACCTAAGGCCATCAGCTTGTTGAATCCGAGTCTGTCTGTCTCTGAATGGGTGACTCTGCCTAGGAAACACCTGTGAGCTGCCTTGGGTCCTATGATGGAAGAAAGGTGGGACAGAAACACACTTCAGCTTTGGTTAAATCTGTGAGACTGGACAATTCTAGGAGTCTTTTCTCAAGCCAATTACTGCCCTGGTTCCAGAATTTAGTACTCCCCCCTCCTTTTTTTGCAAAAGGTACTAAAAAAAGTATTTGCCTTTACTTCTCCAGGCAGTCATATAGTCTAGAATTTATTAATTCCTCAATGTCCATTTCAGTAGAGCAGAATGTGACTGACCTGGGAGTAACACAGTGGTCTCCCTGTAGGTGTGAAGCATGCCAACAAATTGTCTCAGATCCCCCTATGAGGGGAGTGGAGGGGAATAAAGGCAGTGGTTGCCATGGGACAGAGCAAGGTTGCAGGAGAAACTGATGGACAAGATCTGAAAGTGTTCTCTAAACAGGGTTTAAAAAGGCTCAATCGTGAGAGTGGAGCATTCAGCCATATGATGCCAGGAAATTTCAGTAGATGCTAAATGGTGTCTTCTGAGGTGTGTGTCTTAGAGGGTGGGGCTGTGCTTGCTAGCCTTACCTTCTGTTGCACCCTCTGCTCCCCCTCCACCAGGTTTTTTGTGGGAAAGTCCAAAGAGGGCACCTTGCTCTACATGCATAGGCTCCGCATGTGATTTTGAATGTTGGTTGCGTATGGAGCCCATGGATGAATATGGGAGCCTATTCCTGCTTCAGACTTCACCCACCCACTACCCATGCATAGATGGGGATGGGGACTGGGCTGGCTGGCAAAAGCAGCAAGAGGAACATTGGAAGTTGTCTTCTATGGAGTCAGATCCATCTAGGTCAGTATTGTCTACTCTGACCGACCATAGCCCTCCAGGGTTTCAGACAGGGTTCTCTCCCAGCCCTTCCTGGAGAATCCAAGGATTGAACCTGGAACCTTCTGCATCCAAATCAGATGCTCTGCTACAGAGCCAAGGCCCCTCTCCATCTCAGGGATAGGCTAGCAAGCATGGCCCTGCTTTTCTTGCCATACGATTGTAACCACATGGGACATGTTTGCAAATCTGTTTAACCAGTTAAAGCCGGCAGTGGAAATTTACAATCCAGAAGGGAGGGCCTGAAAAGAAGGGAAATTTTATCTTATGTCTTATGTCTTATGTCTTATGTCTCACTCCCAATTAACTTAAGGATAATAATGAAAAACAAAAACAAAAAACCTTTACAACCATCTTATCTCTGGTCATCAAAAATTGACATAATTTTAAAAATGACCTTCTGTATTTTAGGAGTGCCACAAACAATTTATGTACAATCCCATAACATTTTGGAGAAATTATATGAGAGGATGGCTAGGCAACATTTATTTCTAATGATGGTCCTGATGAAAAGCCTTCTCCAAAATGTGTCAGTCTTTGAAATACATTATTTGTGGCATTCCTGAGAACTTTTCTCTCTTTGTTTTGCTGGCTGGTGTAGTTCCCTCCCCACCCCCCTTTTTGATTTCTTCTGTATTTAAAAAACAGCAACCATGCTTCCAGTTTTTTCCCTGGAACAAAACAGAGGAAAGGCTCTTGCAAAAACAAAAAACACCTGATCCTAGTTACATATGTTTAATCTTGCTTTAATGCAATTTGTAACTGTGAGCAGGATTATAATAAAAATTTGCAAAGGTTGCAAATATGGAACAACAGGTTCATAGAACAGAGGGTTGTGAATGTCTGAGTTGATCTTACTGGTTATTTTGATATTCTAGATTATTCCTGGATCAGATTTGCAATTGAGAGAATTGTCAGCTTTCTGTTTCTGTGACTATACTTAGCTTCAACTGTTAAGGTCCTGCTCCAGTAGGCAGAGAAAATCCATCTGCCATAGAGGAAACTCCTTATTAGTTCCAAATTATGAAGAAAACTGATATCTTTTCAGTCTTTAAGGCAACTTCCATCTGTAATGAACCCTACAGTTCCTTCTGGCAGTCAGCTGGAGTTATAGCTATCAGCTTAATCACCAGATATGCTCCATAGCTTTGACCCTCTTCAGCCCTGGATAGGGCAGTGTCTGTTCTTTGAGCTAACAACCTGACACAGATAAACTTTTCCTTTCTCTGCACCGGAAATCTGCATTAGTCTTAGTCTTAGCCAAGTCAGGTTGTGATTTAGTCATAGTACTCTTCTGTGACTTAGAGCAAACAAATCTTTCCCATCTTTGACTTGCGTGCAAACCAAACTTTTTGCGCCATACCTTTTAAAAAAACCAAAACACAACAAAATTTCTGTGGTTGACTCCTAGTTATAATGCTTCCTGGCTTTTTGTACACCCCAATAAATTTGACTAGTGGGTCTTTTTAATACATAATACATTTTCATCACATCCATGAGTAAACTTTCTTTCTTTCTTTCTTTCTTTCTTTCTTTCTTTCTTTCTTTCTTTCCATTTTAGGTACAGTGATCATCGCAACTTAATGCAAAGATTGCAGATTTGATCTCCTTAAGGGACAGCTGCATATTCTTGCATTGCAGGGCGTTTGACTAGATGATCCTCAGGGTTCCTTCTAACAGTACGATTCTATGACTTAGAGGCTTTGCGTGTGGAATTGACATAGGTCCTGAGTTAAGATTGTGAAGTAATATGGAAATATCTCACCATCTCTGTGCTAATGGACCTTTGAACTCTTGAGAATCCAAACAGGGAGATTTGAGCACTGTCTCCTGATTTTGAATTCCCTTGATCCTACTAACTGACCCATCAGTGTATATAATGACATAAACAGCAGGCCTCCATTTGCAAATTACAGATGGGAACTTAACTTACCTGGTGGCAAGGATTATTAATGTGGTTAAGAAAGGAAAAAAATTATTATCTTAGAATAAAATGTGCATACCTAGCCATTTTAGCTGTTAAATTGTATGTATGGAAAATGAAAAACAGCTCTGTACATGATTTGTGTAAAAATAATTTGTATGCATTATTCTCAGGTTCCATCGCTGCCCCTATTCCAGCCATCCGTTAATGGTACCTTGTCAGTTTGGGATGCAGCACTCAGATAACCGGTTCTATCACTTTCAAGGGACACCATATGCAGTCCAGTGTTTTTTGATGATTTGGGACTTGCTTAGTCTTGTTGATAAGGCATGCATTATATCTTACCATGACCAATCAATACAGGTTCATATACTTGGCAGTATTTCATGGTAGAAAAGTAGAGAGAACTGGAGAAAAAGATGGTAGAATCTCTTAACCATCTACTGTGATGTTTTTATGTTGCCTTATAGATCAGTTGCAAACACACACAGCAGTGGCTAATCCCAGGAACATACTTCATCAGGATAACATCATGACTGAAACTCTGAGGTAGACATTAAGATGTGAAACTGCCAATATATTTTGTTGAGAGGAAAATCCTATACACACTGGAGACATAGCTGGACACTGGGTGGTCTTAAATATAATTCTTCAGCGGCATTTTAAAAGAGGGCTGTTTGGTAGGCCATAACCTTAATGTTTTATATTTACTTCTTTCTGATGAGCAGCTTTATATATTTTTTTCATTGAGAAAACCCAAGGCAGTTTTCTGAACAAATAATTAAGGTAACTATAGTACAGTTATTATTTTTCTTAAACGTTACTGCCCCCATATGGACACAATGATGAACATACGCTAGCATTGTAGGTAAAGCTTCTCCCTAGGTTGCATGGCTTTAAAATGTCTACTTTAAAGTTTTAATCCAGACAGATATAAATTAAGTTTGCGTGATTAATGGTTAAATCAAGTTGATCATGTCTCCAGACTTTGAATTCGTGTTTGCCGTAATTACTTGTTTTCTGACATACCAAATATACTTCAGTACTCACCTAAACTGATTGCACCTGCAATTGCTTAGTGTAGTTTACTTTCCATAAAACTTACTCATTTTTGTGTACTGACCATCTTTCCTTTCTGAGGATAAATTTATAATGGGTTTTGAGGTGTTTAAGGTTTGGTAAATGCTTTTCATGGTAACTTGGACCCACAATAACTACTGCGTTACTTTCATAACCTGTAAAGCCCAATTAGAGGTGGCTTCATAAACCCCTGAAATTGCAAAGTCTACCCATCCTTATCTTTAAAAACATTTGTAGCTGCATCCATAGAATAGAATTGCTGACAATTGCCAGACATTTCTGAATGAGGCACACACAGTTTGCACCTCCCATTATTTTCTGGGATTCGCTAGATTGTTATAAAATTTCCAGGTTTGAAATAGGTGGGGTTTAAAGATTTTTAACAAGCTATGTGTGCGTGCAGGGATTATAAGGTTTTAATAACATTAAAATTTACTGCTACTACCACAGCATTTTTAAAGTGGAAAGCTACAGAACAGTCATACTTATTTTTAATCAGTTAGAAGTACTGCATGCCAAGTCAAGTGTTCTTTATTTATTTCAAGTAGTTCATTCACTGAATTCTTTGACTGTCCCAGAGGGCTCAGTGTGGAAAGGATGTTTACAAGTACAAAGTCAGAGTTATACACACTGCCTGCTCAACTCCGGTTTGTTTCATGTGCTGTGGAATTGGCTGTTCTTTTAAACTTCATAGCTGCATTTTCGAAGACAAAAAGCACAGCTGCATTTCAGAATAGGCAAATAGTTACAAATTCTATATTTTCGCATACTTTTTGCTGTGATCAATACATTTCAGTACAGAAATATGGCATTAACAAATGTAGCCTATATGTTCAGTCTTGGCAGAAAAGAGTTTGCTCCATCTCTAGCTGTGTCTGTTAATGCACCAGAACTATAATCTTCTTAAAGCCCACTTGGAAATGATAATGTGTGTGCCACCTTCTGCATTTATAATGTTTAATGACAGTAGAATTCTGTTTGTGCCACAGTTTAGAAATTTGTCCATAATCATCCAGCATAGGAGGTATTCACATTGATAGGTGCATACATGCATCTAGATTAATGTGTATATCACATTGATGTCTCCGTTTGATCATGGCCAGCTTTAGGTCTGGTGCCTAAAGGTATAAAATGAAGGTGCCAGTCAAACCTCCTTGGGCAGAGCATTCCACAAACAGAGAGCTACTGAGATCTTGTGAACTGCCCTGAGGTCTTTTGATGAGTGGTGGTATATAAATATAACACATAAATAACAAGTAGTAAATAAATACTTGTGTTGCCACCATCCAGACCTCTCATGGAGGAGGCGCATGAAGAAGGGCCTCAGATTATGAGGGTCCAAGTGTGAGTAGGTTTATATGGAGAGAGGTGGTCCTTAAGGGTATGGTGGCCCTGAGCCATTTAGGGCTTTATAGGTCAAAGCCAGCACCTTGAATTGGACCCAGCAACTAATTGGCAGGGAGTGCAGTTGGGCCACGATTGGTGTAATAGGCTCAAACTGTCTTGCCCCATTGAACAACCTAGCTGCTGAATTCTGCACCAGCTGAAGTTTCCGAAACGTCTTCAGAGGCAGCCCCACATATAACACAATGCAGTAATTTAACACAGAGGTTACCAGAGCATAGACAACAGCTGGGTCACCAGCTGAAGCTGGTGGAAAGCACTTTGCATCACTGAGGCCACCTGAGCTCAAGCGACAGCAAAGGATCCAGAAGTATCCCCAAGCCGCATACCTCTCCTTCAGTGTAACCTCATTGAGAGCAGGCAGATGGTAAGGAGTGAGTTGTGTGTCATCCATATACTGGTGAAACTGCACTCCAAACCTTCCAATAGTTTTGTATACAGTGGTACCTCGGGTTAAGTACTTAATTCGTTCCGGAGGTCCGTTCTTAACCTGAAACTGTTCTTAACCTGAAGCACCACTTTAGCTAATGGGGCCTTTTGTTGCCGCCGCGCCGCTGGAGCATGATTTCTGTTCTCATCCTGAAGCAAAGTTCTTAACCTGAAGCACTATTTCTGGGTTAGTGGAGTCTGTAACCTGAAGCGTATGTAACCTGAAGCGTCTGTAACCTGAGGTACCACTGTAAATGTTTAAAAGC